TCTTTCTCGTCCATTTCAGGAGGTTGATCTCCCACGAACCAGCTCTTCTACTGTAATGAGACCAACAATCCCATCAGCTGGTATCAGAGCCTAGCTTCCATGCCGACAACCAGATCGGCTGCGGCTGAAGAAAGGATTGATCGGATTGAAGGGGAAGTGCGGCAGACCACCAGCGAGTTGAGAGACATCAAGGAAACACTCTCAGCATTGGTGGTTGGTCAGTTCGAACGGCTGTTGGCGGCACCCAGAGCTTCAGAGGTCGAGGGAACCAGTAGTAGCAGCAGGAGCCGGCGAGGTGGAGTCTTCCCTGTCAAGGCTGCCAAGATCAACTTCCCACTGTATTCAGATGATGACCCTGTTCCCTGGATATACCGGGCTGAGAGGTATTTCGGATTTCATGAGACCCCTGCAGACCAAAGAGTTCCCATTGCAGCCATTCACATGGATGGCAAAGCGGATGGCAAAGCAATTATGTGGTACCAATGGTACCGAAAGACCCATCCCCAAACCACCTGGTTGGACCTCACTGAGGCTCTATGTGTGAGGTTCAGACCCTCTGGCTATGAGAACTTCAATGAGTCCCTCTCTAGAGTGAAACAAATGGGTACGGTAAGAGAATACCAAAACGAGTTCGAACGGTTGGCCACAAGAGTTCATGGCTGGCCGGAGGCTGCATTGGTGGGTTGTTTCATAGGGGGATTGAGGGATGATATAAGGATTGAAGTAAATACCATGCAACCAGCTACGTTGGTTGCGGCGGTTGATTTAGCCAAATTGCAAGAAGAAAGGCTGGATCGGCTCAAGAAATTGGGAAGGTTTACAGGATCTCAAGTGGGCCCAATACAAAAGAACCCCTACACAAAGGCTGAACACAACCCGGGCCCATTGCTTCCAACCCCTACCAATCCGATGACCACTGTTAAGCCCATTCCACCTACCAGGAAACCCGGCTCATTAACCTTACCTTACGGGAAGCTGTCGTGGATAGAGATGCAGGCCCAAAGAGAAAAGGGTTTGTGCTATAATTGTGAAGAAAAATTCGTCACATGGAGGTGATTCCCAAAGTAGAATACTGTGTTATTTCCTTACAGGCTCTGTCCGGATATCAGGCCCCCCGAACAATGCGGGTTCACGGCTAGATCTTAGAAAGGAGGGTGGCCATCTTGATTGACAGTTGGAGTTCTTTAAATTTTATAACCTCCGGGTTAGCTTGGCAACTGGGACTAATGATTGAAGCAGTCCCAACTTTCGCAGTCAATGTGGCCAATGGCCAGCGAATTACCTGTGACGGGAAATGTAAGTTAGTCAAACTCAAGGTTCAAGGGTATACCTTCAGGGTAGACTTGCACCCCTTAGAATTTTTCGGAGCAGACGTGGTTCTGGGAATACAATGGTTGTAGCTTTTGGGCCCTGTGATTTGTAATTGGGCCGAGCTGACCATGCAATTTTCACAGGAGGGCCGCACCTACACCTTGAAGGGGGTTAAAAATCAGCCCATAACAGCAGAAGGCTTGGATGTTATACTCGAACACTTCCAGTACAGTGCTACCCCACTACTAATGAGTGGGCTCAATGCCACTTGGGCCCACGGCTGTTTCTTCTGAAACTGAGAACCTTAGTCTTGAACAAACACAGTAGCTTCAACTATTGCTCCAGACCTATGTTGACACCTTTCAGGAGCCCACTACCCTTCTCACTCAAGAGCCCATGATCATAAGATACCCATACAACCTGGGGCCCCACCCGCCAACGTAAGAGTTCAGACCCTACCGTTATCCCCATTACCAGCGGGCAAAGGTGGAAAGGATGGTTAAGGAGTTGTTGGACAAGGGCTTTATCTGACCCAGTAGCAGCCCATTTTCATCCCCCGTCATCTTGGTGAAAAAGGACGGAAACTGGAGATTTTGTGTTGATTACAGAGCTTTGAACAATATCATCATCAAAGATCGGTATCCAATACCCTATATTGAAGAGCTATTTGATGAGTTGGGTAAGGCCAAATATTTCTCTAAACTTTGATAAAAAATATTTCTCTAAACCGGATCTGCGATCGGGTTACCACCAGATCTGAGTACACCCGGATGACATACACAAGACTGCGTTCCGGACCTCGGATGGACATTTCCAATTCCTAGTGATGTCCTTTGGTTTAGCCAATGCACCATTGACATTTCAAAGACTCATGAATGAGATTTTTAAGCCTTATTTATGGGTATTTGTGCTTGTATTCTTTGATGCTATACTTGTTTACAGCCCGAACTGGGCAGCTCACCTGGACCATTTGCAGTGTGCATTAAGCTTACTACGCCACCATCAGCTATTTGCGAAGCCTTCTAAGTGCTCCTTCGGGCAGACCCAGATTAACTACTTGGGGCACATCATCTCCGATGGACAGGTGCATACAGATCCGGAGAAAATAGCTTGCATGGTCACTTGGGCAAGGCCCAACTCCCCACGGGCCCTCAAGGGGTTCGTTGGACTTACCAGGCACTACCGCCAATTCATTAGAAACTATGGAGTTCTTGCGGCACCACTTACTAGCCTATTGAAGAAGCACGCATTTGAGTGGGATCAGAAAGCTGATGAAGCCTTCCAATTACTCAAGAAGGCTGTGACCACATCGCCAACATTGGCTCTTCCCGATTTCAATGTGGAATTCGTGGTAGAAGCTAATGCCTCAGGCAAAGGAATAGGTGCAGTCTTGATGCAGCAGGGCCGACCATTGACCTTCTACAGCAAGGCCCTCTCCCCTCAAGCCCAAGCCAAGTCTACGTATGAGAAAGAGCTCATGGCCATCGCTCTAGTGGTTCAGAAGTGGAGAGCGTACCTCCTGGGCCGAAGATTCATTGTGCGCACAGACCACCGCAGCATCAAACATCTGCTGGAACAGAGAATTCTGGCCCCTGACTAGCAAAAGTGGGCCTACAAGTTGTTGAGGTACGACTTTGTCATTGAGTATAAGCTGGGACCTTCTAATGCTGTCGCCGACGCACTCTCACGGGTGGAAGACCTTCACATCACGGGGGTATCGTGGCCAACTTACACCTTGATAGATCAGTTAAAGCAGAAAGCCCACGACGACACTCACCTAGCCCAGATTCGGGCCCAGGTTCTTAAGGAACCAGCTCTCACTTTTGGGTACACTGTGAAGGGTGATGTTCTGTTTTACAGAGGGAGAATGGTGATTTCTGACAAATCCAACCATCACTAGGAGCTACTGCGACTCTTTCATGACTCAGCCCAAGGGGGACATTCAGGGGCTCTCCATACCTATAAACGTTTGGCCTTGCACTATTATTGGAAGGGCATGAAGCGCATGCTGCAGGAGTATGTCGCAAGATGTGCTACTTGCCAACAGCAAAAGTATAACACACAGGCACCGGCAGGATTGTTGCAGCCTCTACCCATACCGGAAAGAGTTTGGCAGGAAGTCACTATGGACTTCATAACTGGACTCCCCACCTCTCAAGGGAAGTCGGTTGTGCTGGTGGTTGTAGATAGGTTGAGTAAGTATGCGCACTTCATTGCCCTCTCCAGACCTTACTCAGCATCCACTGTAGCTCAAGCTTACATACGGGAGGTGGCCAGACTCCACAGAACTCCCCTCTCCATCTTGACAGACCGGGATCCCCTCTTTATGAGTTCCTTTTGGCAAGCTGACTTCACCGCTCAAGGGGTGCACTTACTCCACTCAACCAGTTATCACCCACAGACGGATGGGCAGTCGGAGGTAGTCAACCGGTGTTTGGAAACCTATTTACGGTGTTTTGTGGGAGATAAGCCCAAGCAGTGGGCTCAATGGTTACCATGGACCGAGTTCTAGTATAACACCACATTCCAAATCTCTGCAGGAACCACCCCTTTTAAAGTGCTCTATGGGCGTGACCCTCCATCTATTTTACCATACAAAAAGGGGATATCATCAGTTGCTGAAGTTGAGACCCAGCTTTCAGCAAGGGACAATATACTCAAGACCCTCAAGTTCCATCTTCAACAGGCCCAGCACACCCCACGAATCATGCACGCAGCACCTCCTCTGAGGTTTGTTTACACACGCCGTCCACGTCAAGATGTTTGAGTAGAGTCTGTTAGTTTGTTACAAGTCATGATCTCGAGCTATAAATATCTGTAACAATCAATTGAGTGGGCATGAATAAAATAATCTCTAGTCTCTCCCATATCTCTTCCTCTTCTCTTCCTCTCTCTCTCTCTCTCTCGTCCATTTCAGGAGGGTGAGCTCCCTCGAACCAGCTCTTCTACTGTAACGAGACCAACAATCCCATCACTTTTTGTGCTGGTTCATTTTTGAGGGTGGATTTCTTTTGGGGGGGTGTCATAATTCTCATCTTTTTGTACAGACTCTTTTGTACAGGACCTTATACAGTTGATATTAATACAATACTTTACCTTTCAAAAAAAAATCATCCATTTTTGCATCCTTGTCTCAGCTAGACTTTTTTTATTACATGTTTCTTGATTTCCCAGTACTGTTCCATATAGCATTGCCAGTTTTATAGCTGTCTTATAAAAGTTTTCCTTTTAGTCTCATATCTAAACAATTATATAATAGGCAGAAAATGTACTTTTGCCTATATGTGGATCAAAATAGGACTAGAGAGAAATTTTCTTAAAATATCATTGAAGTATCAGTACTATTCTGTCAATCAATGTAAAAAATATTGAAACTAATATTGGAAAGTTGAAGTGCTGCTTTGTAATGTACTTTCCATTTTCTTTTATTTGCTTGTCTGGGTGCAAAGTTTGATCACTGTAATTCAAAATTGACGTAGATTGTTTTCAAACTGTTTGTGGCCATTTTGCATGTGGCATCAATGATGAGCCCTAAACCGAGTGCAGTCAAGATGTATGAGCTCCCAAAGTGTACTGATATTTCAGCAGCTGTACTTTAGGTTCCATTTTAATAGGAGTTTCCACACACATATGGATACTCTTATTTTAACTATGACATTCTGAGTTGAAGGTTTTTGTTGTCTGTATAGGAATTCTTTAGATGCCTTGCTATATGCCATACTGTGCTTCCAGAAGGTGATGAATCTCCAGAAAAGATCACATATCAGGCTGCATCTCCAGATGAAGCCGCTCTAGTTACTGCTGCAAAGAACTTTGGTTTCTTCTTTTATAGGTTGGTCTTATCATATCTATTATGTTTTAGTGGGAAATAAGGAATAGCTTATGTTCTCATTTTCCATGCTCTCAGATTCCTTTATTGTGCATTTACTTACATCAATGATAAGTGCATTTCGAATAAGATGCGGTTTTGTTTAGATATTATTCATTCCTCTTCCTTGGTTGCTTCCTGACCAGTGATTTTTTTTTTAGGCGCACACCCACCACTATCAAGGTTCGTGAATCACATGTAGAAAAGATGGGTAAAATCCAAGATGTCTCTTATGAGATTTTGAGTGTTTTAGAGTTCAATAGGTAGGTCTTACTCTTCTGGTTCTCTTGTCTTTACAATTCAGTTTATGCCTTTGTATTGGCAATGATGGTCTTGTATTGTTTTTTGACATGCAAATAGCACAAGGAAGCGTCAGTCTGTTATCTGCCGTCACCCAGATGGAAGACTCGTTTTGTATTGTAAGGTGAAAGTTTTAGGCTTTGAGACATAGGAGGTGGTATCCATATTGGAATTTTGACATGAATTCAGAAAGACATTTTTTTTCTGCAGGGTGCTGATTCTGTCATATTTGAAAGGTTGGCAGATGACAATAGTCAGGTCAAGATTTTAACTAGGGAGCATTTAGAACAGTTTGGATCTTCTGGTTTGCGTACACTTTGCCTGGCATATAGGGATTTGAGTAATGACCTATATGAAAGATGGAATGAAAAATTCATCCAAGCAAAATCATCCTTACGAGACCGTGAAAAGAAGTTGGATGAGGTATGTTCTCCTTGAAGATAGATGTGTTTTGTATTTGTGGAACTCCTAGTAAGGTATTTTTGTCAGAAAAGAGATTTCTTGTTAATTTTTAGTTATTTTGCCTGCACTCACCAAAATTTTAATACCAACTTTTCTAAATCATTCCCCTATTTCAAAACTCAAATGCTGAAAGATGATTAACAGAGATGTGAAAAAAAATGCAAGGAAAGACAAACATTTAATAGATATTTTGTGAAAAGTTGACTGGAAATAGATAATGCTGCTTTGAGTGCAATCAGATGCCCAGATCCTTCTCCAATAAGAAGAATGATGAACTCGAAAATTATCACAATTAATAGACATGGTGCCATGTTTTAAATTCTCATCATATCTGACATAGACGTAGGGGTACAACCGTACAAATTGGGCCTGATTGAGGTCATCCCTAACCTAACCCAAGGTATTGGAACTTCAACCCTAACCCAACCCAATGACTTTGGGTTGGACTGGTATCTAGGTTATTGACCCAATTTCTTATCTCTCTCTCTCTCTCTCTCTCTCTCTCTCTCTATATATATATATATATATTAAAACAAGGAAGTCTAGAAATTTTCTCCTTTTTTTGAATTTTTTATTTTTTAATTCCATGTCATTTTTGAAACAACCAATGAGATGCACTTTCCTAATAACCTAAATAATCTCTTCTCCTAAACTACCTCCCCCACTTTCTCCAAAATTATCTCTAACTCCTATTTATCTTCTAAATTATCTCTAATTCCTATTTATCTCCAAAATTATCTATATTTTCTATTTATCCTCTCCCCTACTTTTTATCTATATCTATCTAAAGAAATTTTGGATTAAAAAACTTAAGAATTATTTAAATATTCTAACAAAATTATATAATAATTTTAAAATACTTATTTAAAACACAAAAAATAATTTTATATTTTTACAAAATATATCACGAAATTATGTAYTAAYARTTTAAATTATKTTTWTYYGRAYTATCAATTTAAATGTTTTTCAAATATTTAATAATATGTAATAGCTTTAAATAAATAAAATTCAAATAACAAAAAAGTTTAAATACTTCATAGATTATTTAAATATTTTAATAAATAAATATTTATCATAGCTAGATTCTTCAAAGTAGAAAATTAATTATAACATAATATTGAAATTAATAATAATTTAATATATTACAAAATTAATAATGAAATTATGTAATAATAGTATAAATTATGATTTTATGGATAATTAAATTCAATAATTAATTAATATTTTAAAATTTAAATATTTTACATATTATTTAAGTATTTAAATAACTAAATATTTTAAATAACAAAATATTTAACATAACTAGATCTTAAATTGTTAAAATAAAAATTATATATATGTAATAAATTTAAAAAAACCTGAAAAGTAGAAAAATAATTATTAACATAATATTGAAATTAATAATAATTTAATATTTTTACATAATATTGTAAATAACTAATTTCACTTATATCAAGTAATAATTTGAGAAAATAACTTCCAAAAAAAATTATACTTATTAATAATAATTTTAAACTCTTAATCTGTATTTATTATATAATTATATATACTAAAATTAATATTTATTGTATTTCAGTAGTTATTTATTTATTTTTTGTGATAAATGTATTTTCAATGATTATCTATAAATTTATTTTGTGTTGTTATTTAACACAAAACTTTCAATAATTATTGGAGATTAAAGTACTATTATTGAAATTTTTAAATTTAATTTATTGTACTTAATTGTATTTATCGTATTTTTGTTATAACTTATTGATTAATATTTACTAGAGATTAAACTATTATTTGAGATTATACTATTTATTGACTAATTTAATATATTTTTAGTACTTATTGTACTTTTGTAATTATTGTAATTATTGTAATTTTTCATTATCGATATATTTTCAATAATTGTGTATTTTCGCTATAAATTTTCAATAATTGTTGGAGATTAAACTATTGTTATTTATCAGAGATGAGACTATTAATTTAACTAAAATTACGAGTGTTCATGAGTTGGTTCGGTTCAGTCGTATGCTATTTGGCCAACCAAATTGACCTAGTCAAGTTGGGGAGTTGGTCAGCTGAAACCGACTAACCTTTTGTGAAAATCGACCCACTCAAGTTGTATTGGTTTGGGTCGATTTTTTGGTTTGGTCAGTCGGTTCAAAAGATTTAAACTTAAAAATTCAATTTTATTTTAAAAATTGTAGTGCAATTAAAAATAAATTTAAAAATTAGATTTATGATATAAAACATTTTAGACTAAGAAATATGGAAAATTTCCCACTTTTCCATATTAAAAATTATATTTAAAATATAAAATATTAATATATATTCATGGTTAGGTCATTTGATTTTGGTCGGTTTACAAATGGCCAAAGTGAAACTGATCCAACTTGGTCGAATTGGGAATTTTTTGTACCAAAGCCAACCTAAAATACTAGAAAACCAACCAACTCAGGTCGAGTTGATCGGGTTGGTCGGTTTCATTAGTTTGATGAATAAACCTAATTGAAATTAATTATTGTTATTTTTTTATTATAAAAAATTTATTAAAAGTAGTATATATAATATAAATAATTATTAATTATTTAAAAAGTTGAAAATATAAAACAATTGTATACTCTTATGTGTTTCTATTAGGGTCATTTATTAGAACACACCTTATAGTTTTACATATTTACTTAAACCTACCTTATAGTTTTCATTTTACCAAAACATCTCATATATTTTACAACTTATTTACTTAATCAACCTTTCATTAAGGAGTGTTTGTTTTGCCATTAGGCTCATGATTTTTTATTCCAAAAATACCCTTAATACTTTTCTGTACAGAAAACAAAATTGACCAAATATAGCCAATAGAGTGGTTGCCCGTGTTTTATTAAGGGCAAAAATGGTATTTTTATTTTTATTTTCTTTTGATTAAATTTATTTAAATGAACATTAAGGTCAACATTGTCATTTTCCATTGTCATCTAATGGAAGATTGATTAAATCTATTGCAAATTATAAGTGATGTTTTAGTAAAATGCTAATTGTAGGGTAGATTTTAGTAAATCCATGAAACTATAAGGGGTATTTTAGTAAATGACCCTTTCTATTATTTAGCTTATGCTTAATAAATCCCGTGCATCGCACGGGTCCCCGCTAGTTTTTACTAAAATGTTCCTACTTGGATTTAAGATTAGGTTGACTGACTTTAGAATTGGTACATATAAAGGGATAAAGCTATGGTACTTCACAATTACTATACTTGTGTTACACAGGAAAATATTTTCCCTTTATACTTAAAATTGTTGGTACGTATAGATAAATGCAAAATATGAAGGTTGTCAGGCTCAGGCTGAGCTGGGTTGCCAAAGGCCTCAACCCTAAGGGGCAGGTATCTCTGATGTTCTAATAGTTTAAATTTTCATGTAACACAAAACTTCTTCAGGTGGCAGAACTAATAGAGAAGGAGCTGATTTTGATTGGATGCACTGCTATAGAAGATAAACTTCAAGATGGAGTTCCTGCCTGCATAGAAACACTTTCTAGAGCTGGAATCAAGATTTGGGTGCTAACAGGGGACAAGATGGAAACGGCAATAAATATAGCTTATGGTGAATTAGGAGTCTTTTCACTTTATTTATTTCTTCATTTTATTTCCAATCCACTGTAGTAAATTTTTTTGTAAGTCTGAGCTCTGTTTCTCTTCTGTTGTAGCGTGTAGTTTGATCAACAATGACATGAAGCAATTTGTCATCAGTTCAGAAACTGATGCAATTAGAGAAATGGAAAGCAGGGTAAGTAACGTTTATAGAAGACACTTTCTTGCATGCGTATGAGATGAAATCTTCACAATTTAGACTGGTCTGCTAAACCTATGACAGGGTGATCCTGTGGAGACTGCACGCTTTATCCGAGAAACAGTTAAACAAGAGCTGAGAAAATGTCTTGAGGAAGCACAACAGCATCTACATACTGTATCTAAACAGAAGTTGGCACTTATAATTGATGGGAAGTGTTTGATGTATGCATTGGATCCAGCTTTACGGGGAAATTTACTTAACTTGAGCTTGAATTGTAGTGCAGTAGTTTGTTGCCGTGTTTCTCCACTGCAGAAAGCACAGGTACATTCTTTTGCAACTTTTTTGAGGCATTGAATGAAAGTAGTTTTCTCAAAAGAAATGTTATGATGAATTTTTCAACCTACTGACTTGGCTCTATGTGCACTAATTAAATTAGCTTTAGACTTTGACCTGTGATTTGGAGAAAGATTCAATAAAACAAATTTTATATTTTGCCAATTGATCAAAAGAAGAAAATTTTGCATGGCATTTCTCAGGTGACTAGCTTGGTTAAAAAAGGTGCAAAGAAGATAACACTTAGCATTGGAGATGGTGCCAATGATGTTAGCATGATTCAAGCTGCCCATGTTGGCATTGGGATAAGTGGGTTAGAGGGAATGCAGGCTGTCATGGCTAGTGATTTTGCAATTGCTCAGTTTCGGTTCCTTACAGACTTGCTTCTTGTGCACGGCCGATGGTCATATCTTAGAATTTGCAAGGTTTTACTTTACTTAAGCCACAAAATTTATGTCAAGTTCTTTTTTTTTCACTTCTGTGTTAAATATGTATTTTTGTTGATTGCAGGTTGTAACATACTTTTTCTACAAGAACCTTACATTTACTTTGACTCAATTTTGGTTCACCTTCCAAACTGGGTTTTCTGGTCAGAGGTTCTATGATGATTGGTTCCAGTCTTTGTATAATGTTATTTTTACAGCTTTGCCTGTGATCATTGTTGGACTTTTTGATAAGGTAAAGTAATCATTTTTCCAAAGTGATCAGTGTGAGTTTTTTTTATAACAAAATCACTATAATAGTTTAGATTGGCACTGTGGCCCTAAATATTTAGTGCCTAATGGTAATCGATTACTTTTACATGTACCTTTTAGTTTTTGTCTATTTTGCTAAATATGTAAATGGAAAATGTGCTGTGATTGATTCGAGGTTATGCTTTGCCAGGATGTCAGTGCTTCGCTTTCTAAGAAGTATCCTGAGCTATACAAGGAGGGAATAAGAAATACCTTCTTCAAATGGAGAGTTGTGGGGGTTTGGGCTTTCTTCTCTTTGTATCAGTCACTGATCTTCTATTACTTTGTGACTATTTCTAGTCGTGGTGGCCAGAATTCTTCAGGCAAGACATTTGGGTTATGGGACATCAGTACCATGGCCTTTACTTGTGTTGTGGTAACTGTCAACTTGCGTCTTCTTATGGCCTGTAATTCAATCACAAGGTGGCACCACATTAGTGTTGCGGGTAGTATTTTGGCATGGTTTGTTTTCATCTTTCTTTATTCTGGAGTTATGACACCATATGATCGACAAGTAAGTCCTTTCTTAATGTCTTAATTCTTTGTTCAATTTCTTTTCTTTCTTCTGCCACTAAACCAGTGTGCTGATTTGCTTTATTGTTCTGGGTCTCATGCAGGAAAATATATTTTTTGTCATCTATGTCTTAATGAGTACATTTTATTTCTATCTCACACTTCTCCTTGTCCCCGTTGTTGCACTTCTTGGAGACTTCCTTTACCAAGGGTAAGACCTAGAATTATTTGTTTCCTGAAGCTTGACATTTGATTGAATATGTAGTTTTGTTAAGGATTGGACTAAATGAAATATTTGGGCTGTAATATCTTTAATTTCTATGTAAATTTGTCCGCCAATCCCCCATATAAACTTGATATATATATATATAGAAAACTCCTCTGTAGCATCTTGGGGGCCCTCATGTTTTGGCAAGCATTTTTTTTTTCCCTCACTTGATACGTGATTTGTTTACTACTCATTGCATAAATGATTCTCATGAATTGTGTGTGTGTGTGTGTGAACAAGGGATTTTGATTGCACACATAACAGTGGGAGTTTCTTGGGTTTGGGGCTCTGTGACCTGTACACTGGTCTGAGGCCTGGGCCCCTAGCCATGTGATTCATTATTTAGAATATTATGATGCATTACTATTGAATAAGTCCTTTCTTATCACCATCAGAGCATCGTCCCAACTATATGGGGTCAGCCACATGATCCTGTTTCATTGTTCTGTTCTGTTTAATATCATATCCATTGTTAAATTATGAGCCCTTTAAATCATTTCTTACTACAACCATGTCTTTTTTGGCCTGCCCCTAGCTCTTTTTCTAGTTCCTTCAGCTTATAACAAATCACTTATAGGTTCTGTAGATGTTCTTCTCTACATGTGACCAAACCATCTTAGTCTACTATTTCCTCATTTTATCTATATTGGTAAATAGGCATATTAGGTGTGTATTCACAAATTTTTTACTAAAGTCATTTTAGATGCCAAATTATTTGAAGAAATAGAAAAATATAGGAATTTTTCATAGGAAATGTATGATATGTGAATAATATGGATTTTCAGAATATGGTATAAAGATATGGGATGTATTATTTTAGTATATGTTTATACCATGAAAATGCCTGTATTTGTAAATATGCATATTTTTAATTGTTCATATATACATTAACATGTATAACATGCCAAATTTTCATTCTTTATTTTTAAAAGATAATCTATTAAATGCATATTCATTTTTAACCAACCTATTTACTGTATCATGTATGTTTCATGGAAGTTTTTTTTTTCCATTATTGAAACCAAATTCATCATGAAGCTTTTTATTTTTTGTACTTCTCTGTATATGTATTTTTGCCAACTATGGTCATACCTAAAGATTGCTTATGTTGCTCTTTTGCACAGTTATCCCCCACTAGGCGATTACAGTAAAATAAAAAATGCAGCAATAATCATTGGGGCCCCAGTCCCATATAGAGGTTGTGTAGCTCTATATCACCTTTATTATTAGGACTACATGAAGAGATTTTGGCATAATGCCAAATTCATATGCTACTATATTTTATTCAACTCTAAGTAGAATCACCTTTACGGATTATAAGCTCTATGAAATGCTTGCTTGTCAGTGACTCATCACCATCAGTGCTGTAAAGCTACATTCTGTGACGAACATTTAAGAGAGGCAATTTTGTTATAGCAGTTGCCAATTCTTGTATTCATATTTGTGATACCACTGTTTCTGATTCTATTAATTCCTTTCTGCACATTTTTTAAAATCTTGTTCTCACGGTTTTAGGCTTCAAAGATGGCTCTGGCCCTATGACTATCAGATTATTCAGGAAATGCACAGGGATGATCCTGATGACAGTAGCAGGACAGAGTTGCTGGAAATTGGGAACCAGCTGACACCAGATGAGGAAAGGAGCTATGCAATCTCTCAGTTACCAAAAGAAAAATCAAAGCACACAGGTTTTGCTTTCGACTCACCAGGCTATGAGTCATTCTTTGCTTCGCAACAAGGTGTTTTTGCCCCACAGAAGGCCTGGGATGTTGCCAGAAGAGCCAGTATGAGATCACAACCGAGGACAGAAAAAACATATTGAATTAAAAAGTATATGTACATCTTCTTTAACCAAAAAAATTTGTAAAAAATAGCTGTCATATCATAGTTTCAGTTCGTTGCCCATTTTTGTTACTCCACCCAGTGAGCCCTTGAGGAATTCATAGTGTTTTTAGGAGTCATTTACGATTTTCAGTATTACATTGGTCCAATTAATACAAATGACATTCTTTTTCATGTAAAATATTTTTATGTTTCCAATCTAATTTACTGGTGATTTGAGATGTAGGTTAATGCAAATGCAATTGCATAGTAAAAGAGTTGCTAGAAAAAAAAAGTTTGTTAATGGAGTCATGCAGGAAAAAGCTTGTTAGACAGGAGCTACTTTTGTACCTTGTCAATTCAAACAATCTATTGGATAGGGAACTCTCTGGATCAAAGAGTACAAGATTTAAAAGATGATCAATCCACTATGACTAGTACATATTTTGTTGGGCGAAACTCCTCTGAGTGAGGCAAGCCCATCAGTCTCGTTCTCGCACACAACAGCCGACACAAGATCGTAGGGAAAATTTAGCACTGCGAAGTGCGAACCTAGGTGGACGCAGGCAAGGAAAGAATGCAATGGGAAGTTGGGAACATGTAAGAAAATATTGCACTGCATATGGAAATCATAAACTAGAGTTTGTTTGACAGTGAATTGAATTCTCCGACTTTTGAGTTGGGCTGTAGCACATCAACCGATCATTTTTGGTAATTATATGTGATGATGCGCAATCCGGCCGGTCTTAGCTGTCAACAACCTTGCCTCTGAACTGAGTAGCAGGGAACCTGAAACGGAGGAGATGAGAAAGCTCTGGGGAGAACCCGGTGTAAAGGCTCCGAAGCTTAAGTTAGAATCCTTCAAAGGCAAGATAAAACCAGATAGCGCAAAGTTTGCATACCTCCTCTTTGGGGGGGTGGAGAGCCTTTTATAACCACCTCGCGCACTCACTCCTAGACTTCTGTCAGGTCGGGAATGATTACTTCCGTGTTTCTGCCAGTTCGGGCGTCATTGCCTCTGCTGGGGCAGAACCGTCACTGCTCTTTTTGTCGGAGCCGTCTCTGTAACTGGAGATGGTGGTGGCAAGTGACGGTGGCAGGTGGCCGTTTGAAGTGCGGCCGCCAAGTGTCAGATCCCAAGTCAGTCAGGTGCGCCGCCCCTGGATACGGACTCCTTCGGTGTCAGGTACGGTGTGGTTCGTCCAGTTCAATGCTCTAGAGGCGAAGTGCCTGGAGCGGTGCGTGAGGTGAAGTCTTGAGTTCGGATAGGGGGGTGTCCCAAACTTTCATAAGACGGGCCAGTTCGGGTCTCTGTTTTGTGTGACTCGAGGCCAAAGGGAGAGTTCGGGCTCCTCGTAGGGAGTTCGAGCTCCTCGTAGGGTGTTGGTCTCCTCGAGGGGAGTTCGGCCTCCTCGAGGGGAGTTCGGACCGCTGGTCTCTTCCCTTTGGTGTTTTGTACCCTCGATATGCTGTTTTAAGTGTCGAGCTACTTGCTTTTTTGCCACGTGGCGTGATTTGCGAGGTCGGGCCAAATCTTCCTTCATCAATTGCCCCCCACTCCTCGTGCTAAGGGTCTTGCCCTGGCGCGGGGAGTTTGCTAGGTGTCAGGTAGATTTGCCCTGCACTTTGAATCTTGGTTCTGCCGGCGCGAGGTGCGTTGTCAGGGTTCCTTGGGCTTCTTCGAGCGTTCATTAGGCGGGAAGCGCGCCGGCCAGCTTAAACGCTGATAGATTTGGCGGCGCGCGCTTTATTTCGAAATTTCAAAAAAGCGCGCCACTTGGGGGGCGCAATAGTGGGCGTCTTTTCAAATTTGAAAAAGACGTGCCGCTGCCGTTTTTACTGAGGGGACATGCGCTAGCGTTCCGTCAGTTTCAAAAAGATGTGCGCCGGCGCTCTGTCAGTTTCAGAAAGACGTGCGTCAATCACGTCTCGGTCTCGGGGACCCCAGTTGTTGTCACTTCTATATTTCTCTCTAGCTCGCGTCTGAGTTTTAGCTCGCATCCAGTTCGCGTCCAGATTTTTTCAGTTCGCGCTCAAAGTCTTCCGCTCGTCCGAGCTCCTGTGGTCTACAGCCTTTGTCCGGGTGAGTACTTTCCTGGATCTCATCTCACTCCCTGATGTCTAGCTCGGATGGCTCAGATAGTCCTTTCAGCGGGTCTGATGCAAGTTCTACGAACCGAATTGCATCTCCCGATAGCCCTAGCGAGCCGGAGGTAGAGCTCGATGAAGAGTTCAAGCTCGTAGGCTGAGGCGCTTCGGGTAGTTTGGCGTCCACCTCTCGTCGGGGTCGGATGTTAGACAAGTCGGTCCTTCGACCATGACGCCCGAGGGGCTCCAATCCCTCATTACTTACTATAACTTGCCCGGGGAGTACGCTTATTTCATACCTTCGGGTAGCTTTCCTTGGGAACACGGTCTTGATAAGATCGTGATATTCCGGGAGCAGCTCGCCGCAGGGCTGCGATTGCCTTTCCATCCCCTCTTTGTCGAAGTCTTGAACCACTTCGGCGT